AAAGCATTCTTACTTTACAGCATTTTTTCACACCTGCCTAAAACTTTTGCACAGTACTAGACATATAAAGGGATTTCATGACTATCCAGCCTTGTTGCTAAACAGAGATGAATCTCTCTTCTGTGGCAGACCCGTTGGAATGGAGAGCCAACATGCTGATGATGCCCCCAAGAATAGGGGTGGAATACCTTTGGCTCCACCCTACCATCACAATAACACCTGAAGGCCAGTAGCTTTTACAGGGGATCTCCTAGCTGCAAGAAAATTGCATAGCCCTGCATTAAATAGTCCTAAATAAGTTAAGTTCCACCCTGTGCTCTACGCAAGATAGAAACTAGGGCCCAGAGGCTCAAATCCTCACATGATGTTGATGATCAACCATCTAGATTTTGTCCAACTCGAGGCAGCATGCATACATAATGTTCCCACTTCCTATTTTCCCTTCAACAACCACCACCCTGTGAAGTGGGTTGGGCTGAAAGAGTGTGACTGGCCCAAAGTCACCCATCTGGATTTCATGCCTAAGTGGGGACATAGGCATGAAATCCTCTCCTTTCTGAACAGAGAGCACCATAATAATGAGAGTTTTACAACTTTATAAACTCTTTTGGCACTGAGGTTGGCTATTTCAGTGCATGGCAAAATTCATGTCACAAAATGTACCAAGAAGATCCTGTAGGAAATCTTGACAATTTCACTGGTTTCAAAAGACACATTGGTTCACTGCAACCTTTAGCTGACATACAGTGTGCTGCTGTCATAAAGAAGTTGCAGGCATTAGCCAGGACTGAAGAAAATAAGAGACAGAAGGGGATACTGGTGAATGAAATTGGTTCATCCTGATGAGAGAAACAAAGAGTTTTGAGCTCCACAGAGCTGTCTCATTGTCAAAAGAGATACTAGCAAGAAGCTGCTCCTGCACTTTAATGGGAGAGAGATTTAGCTTTTATGGGAAAAAGACCAGAGCACTGCAAAATCACCCAGAATATAAATAGATTTTCCTGGTTTTGAAACAAGTCCTGGTTTTCTAGCAAAACCAAACGATGTCTCCGCTTGCTCACCAATTACCTCTGTACATGCACTTAGGTCAGTCTTTCTGTTTCCTCCTCTGACGTGGCTTTCTGGGCCCTTGTTCTGATTATAGCACTCTTGTAATAAGCCAGAAAGGCAAAATCCTTTCAAGGTCAATGCTGATGACTCCCTCTGACAGGTGAGGAACCTTTCTGCCAAATAGCCTTGCACACTTTCAGGGATGGCTGCAGTACCACTATGTGTAATAAGATAATGCGTAATTGCTGAAAATACTGTGATCCATTCAGGAAGGATGCTTGTTGAGTCCCCTTACCCTAAGGCCCTGGTTTTGTTCTGATTATGGGTTGCTGAATAAGCCACAATGGCTGGACTCACCTATGGTACTAAGGCATAAGTAAAGGGGAATCCATATATATATATATATATGGACAAGTCCCTGCAGTTTTCAAGGCAAGGTGTTTCGGAAGTGGTTTGCCATTGCCTCCTTCCTAGAGCCAGAGCCCAGCTGGCGAGCGCAGGAGGCAGGGTTTCCATTGCTTCACGCCTTTTTCGGGCGTGCGCAGCTTCCACGTTACCGGCAACTGATCCTGTCTCCCATGCAAGCACCGCCAGCATTTTTCCTCCCACCAGGGTGAGAGTACCCATTTCTCTACTCACATAAGTTTTCGAGCTGCTAGGTTGGCAGGAGCTGGGGAGGAGGCAGGAGCTCGCTCTGCTGCGCGGAGCTGGGCTCGGACTGCTGAAGTGTCGACCATTTCTGGACGGCAATTTTCAGCCTCATTAACCGCTGCGCCACTGCGTCCTCCTATGGTACTAAGGCATAAGCAAAGGGAAATCCATATATATAAATTTGCTTAAATTTATAAATATAAATAATAGAGAGGAACTCATGTCCCTCTCCAACAAAGGGTGATCCTTCTGAAATCTTTGCAATGGCTGAAGCTCTGCTAAAATACTACAACATCACGCAAGGGCTCCAAAGTTATTGCCCCACGTAAGTATTTGCTTCAAAGTACATGTCGGGTTGGGTCTGAAGGAAGCTGAGATGACTTTGAACTAAGAGCCCCATCTGTTTGCTTAGCTACATATTCCTGCTATGTGCACTTTTGGGAAGATTTACGGCACGGGGGTTGGTGTCATGTGAATGTTTTCAGCCATGGCAGCATCAGGCCTCCCAAATGGTAATTGCTTGCAAACCAAACAAGTATTCCATATTACCAGTTGCTGCTGCTCCTAAGTTATATTTGCTCAGTCCTCATTTCCAGAAAAAAGCTTACAATGTCTCTTTTGAAAGAATGAACTTTCTTCCTTACTCTTCTTGTTTAGAACAGTGCTCCAGCAGAAAGGCCAAATCCTCGTATTACAGTTCAACACGGGACAAAATGCTTTAATACCGTATTTCCCAACCTTGGCCATTTCTGGGTGTGTGGATGTCAACGCCCAGAATCCCACCGCCAGCATGACCATTGATAAGAATTCTGGCAGTCGAAGTCCATACACCCGGAAATGGCCAAGGTTGGGAAACACTGCTTTAATACATGTCAGTGCCTTACACATTTACAAATTACTATTTTAAAAGTCAAAACAAGCCATATTTGCAATCTAATATATCATTTGGGACACTGACAGTCCCTGACTGTGTCCTCGCAAACACAAATATAGGCCTCCTTCCCATCTTTGGCTGATGAGGAAAGAGTTGAGGCCAACATGTTGCTCGATCTCCATCCAGTTTGAAGCCCACCACCCATTCAGCTGCACCAAACTGTACTAGGGTATAAGCTATAACTCAGTCTTTGGAAGGGGCAGAGCTAAATTTTTTGCACCCATTTTGTGCTCAGTTTGGGCATTTGGGTTAAGAATGGTAATGGGATCAGATTTCCTCCCGGAGCTTTTCAATTCTCTTTATCACTATTATTTTTCAAAACCACATTGGGCTGGCAATGCAGGTTGTCCACCCTGATCTAAATGACTGAAAAGGGCTTGACTATATCCTAATAAAATTAACAGTTACATATTTTTTCATTAGTTTCTGCAGGAATTAACATGATTACCTTTCAGGGTCATTCTTCATGTGCAATTTAATGGTTTGTGTGTTTACTTAGAAATGAATTCCGTTGAGTCCAACGGATTCAGTGCTAAATATCTGCACTGAATCAGGGTTGAGGCCACGTAAAGATACAGATACTTAAGTATGTTTGCAAGTATATTAAAGTTAGCATTGCAGAAAATAACAGGTTTTCCTCCTCCGTGGTTTTTTTTTTTAGTCTACCCTTGGTTTTGTTGCTCTGGTGATCAGCACACTCCACACCTTGACTTATGGCTGGACAAGAGCCTTTGATGAAAACCAATACAAGTTTTACCTGCCTCCCACTTTTACCCTCACTCTCCTGGTACCGTGCACCATAATCCTAGCTAAGCTCTTTTTCCACCTTTCTTGTATGAACCAAAGACTGCAGCGCATCAGGAACGGGTGGGAGAGGAGCAGGTATGTCAACTTCACTTTGCCAAGAGCATCTGGGGAATTTTCCAGTGGAGAAAGCAGCAGCACTGTGTGATGCTGAACTTCTGTTTCCATTACAGTTGTGAAGAAGCATTATGATTCTGTTTTTACTGTGTGGGTGTTTTTTTTAAAGCCTGTCTGTCTGGTATCGTTAAATGGTGGGCAATACCTTATTCCAGGTGTTTCAGGAGAAAGTTATCAAACAGAGCGAGTCTGCACATTTAGAATGCACTGGTAATTACCTAGGTTAAAAAAGGTTGCCTTAAAACATCAGTGCAGAATTTTCAGTTACACTATTGAAAGATACGTAAGAAAATGGTCTGCTCCTTCAACGTAAGGGTAGAACAGAACACTGGAAGCACTTTGTTTTTTCCTCACAGCTGGCAGTCCTTTTTCTTAAGGCTGCAGTCAGACACACACTCACGATTAACATTTGGACTTCCTTCTGAGCAGATGATTGCCGTAGCTTCTTCTACAGAACATTTAGTGTGCTAATGTTGTTCACTAATAGATTGGCTAAGGAGATTGATTCTCTAGCAAACAAATTATGTTAAATTCTGTGAAATTAACTTTCAGCTATATGCCGTGTCAGCTCCCTTATCAACCAAACGATAAGAACTAATTTTCACAAATTCTCACTTATTCCTTCCACTTCTTCCATAACTTTTCAGCATAATATTATTTCTATATACAACATAGCAGGGGCAAAAAAACTATGGGGCTACAATATCAGCTGTTACGGAGACAGAACTAAAATTTATATATATACTTAGCTGCAACATATAATTTTAGCCACATTTTTCTTACACACTTACGTTCTTTGATTCTTCTGAGTAAGCGCAACTGTAAGTATGCTGCAGATCAATGATACCCAGCCTGTAAACTGGGGACCACTGGTGCTCCCTGGTGTGAGTACTGAGGGGGAGGGGGACAGAGGGAGGGAGGGAAGGAGGGAGGGAGGAAGAGAGAGAAAGAATGTATCCTAGCCAAAATCTTGGGAGATCACCAGGTCTCCCAAGATTTTGGCATTCTTGCATATAACCTCATGAGTTTTAAGATGTCATGATCGAATAGTAGTCTGAGACTGGATCTGTTCTCATGTAAAAAAAAAAAAAAGTTGAGGTGCTGCAGATGCCAAAGTGTCCACAGATGCTACATTACAGTAGCCTTTAAAAGCATTTTGATGACACAGTAAATCCACATAAAGGAAAACTTTGAAACTGCTACTCTAGATCATTGTCCTTTAGCACAACCAGTGAGATAAAATGAACTTTAGATTCCTTTTATACTTAATGTTAGCAAAAGCTGCTTTTCCTTTCCAAAGAGATAGCCATGAGGTTAGATGTATGCCATTCTGAATATTTTGTCCTGTGTTTTAACCCTGTAGCTCTTTCTGTCATTCTCTTTTGTTTCCTCATTGTCTCAGCCATGGGGTAACACAGAGGGAAGGGCTTGCTTTTCCTGAATAGTTTGGGTAAGCTACTTAGAACAATGCTTGAGTGAGGGCTCTTCTTTCCTCAATTATCCATGGCAGCACCAGACAAATGGGGACAGGAACCACACAAAGAAGATAAAGTTTGGCCTATTAACTGGCCAGGTGGCAGCAGCCGTGTATCAGCAAACTATCTGTACACATGATCAAGGAGAAGTTACTTAATACAACACTTTGAATTATCTTACAACTTTGAAGAATGAAGTGTTCCAGCACTATATTACTGCATGCATACTTTGTTAATTGGTGGCTGTACATCCACCCAGCCTCTGTGTTGTGATGCCAATACTTTGTCTAGTAAAATAATTTTAGATTCAATGTGAACTTTAAAAGCATTAGATGGGGGGCAGTGGAACACATAAGAATTGGTTCTAAAAAGACGTAGTTGCCACATAATCCAAGGAGAAGGTAGAGGTGCTTTAAAGAGGTGTTCTGTCTACTCCAGAACATCTTTTTAGTATGAATTGAAAGGGCTGAACAGCCCCACTACAAATAATTTGTTTGCCAAATCTCTCAACTCTGAAGGTGTGCAGTGATCCAATGAAGAACTTAGCCATACCGTCCAGACATCTAGAGCAGGATTTGGGGCTTCTGTTCTGCTGCTTGTTCCAGATTTTGAAGTCTGCATTTACAGTAGTTGGAACAGAGTCCTACTGCCAAACCATATGGCCTGGGTCATACACATCACTGAAGTACAAGATGATAATATGATGTTTGGCTTAGTTTCATATATAAACCAGGTCACTCTTATTTTTTCAACAAACAAGATTAAAATCCTGGCTGTGAAATAGACTATTGAGATTCAGGTGAGTTCACAGAAGGCCCAATGACCTGCAGGACCCACAAACCCTCATAAGGTGGCATTTGATTTATCTTTGCCAGCATCTGTGTTACACATGGAGTCTGGATGGAGTTATGTATGGAATCCTATGTGCATGTGTTCCAACATTATATATATAGAATATAATGTTCGAACAGCCACACGTAGGATTCCATACTTAACCAGACCAATTTCTGTTGAGGTTGGCACAGCTAAGCAAAGACTATAAAGTTATGTAGCAAAGATTTTCAGGTAACCTTCCATAAATTGGTCTTGAGCCATCGTTCCCATGGAAGCCGGCAGCCAGAAATGTAATTAGTTATTTCACAAGCTTGGCATGGATCTTTGCTAGAAATAACTGCAAAGTAGCAACAAGAATCAGCTGTAAGGCTTGAATAACATTTCTTTACCTGCTGTTTCAATCTGGTTCTTGTCTGCCTGTGTCTGGGATGCTAGAAATGACTAACATTAGGATTGTGACATTTTGAGTTTCTAAAAAAAAAAGTGTTCTGTGTCACAATAACTAAGCCAGTTTTAGATACACTTTGAGGGGCTTTCTCACAGATAGAAACTAATGAGTGGGGTGAAGGTTGTACTTATGTACTAGGGCTCTGCAGAACCTCCAGAAGAGGTGCTTTGTTGCCTGCAGAAGTGCATACAAAGCACCATTCTGCATCATTAAAGCAGCTGTATCACTTGCAAGGTTGTGTGCATATGCTTGGTTCACTCTTCAGTGAAGCAAAGTGGTTAGGCATACCAAGCGTACAGAGATGGTGGGGAGCAGCTTCCAAGCCAGCTATGCAGCCCCTCCAAATAACACGGTTGCTTTAGCAATTCATGAAGAGGTGCTCTGTATACGTTCCTGCCTATTTCAAATAATTGTCACGTGCATCTTTCTGAACCTGGATGTCCCCCCAACACGTGGACATCAATTCCCAGAATTCTCCAGCTGCCACGACCATTGCTGAAAGAGCACTCAGATTGGTGAATATCGCCTAAAATAGTTACTAAGAAAACAGTGCAAGGGTTGACGACTTTGTCCCTGATGGCTAGAAATGAGATGGTGGCATCCAGCCTACCCAGATGTCTATCAAATAGCATAGGAACCCTTGTTAAACAGCCAGTCCAGCCCAGGCCTTTTGTATACAGCGTATATAAGATATACAGTCCTGGCAAGTACAATTTGATAGATCATTTGTCCCTATTATCCAAAGATGCCCATACAGTTATTACATTAGTAGTTGACTGCTGCCAAGAACTTCACGTATAAATGTTGCTGAGGCAAAGCATCAGAACTTTTATGTGAAACATTCCTGCCTGCATGAAGCATTTTGAAAGTGACTTTGATTTTGTTACAGAAACCAGCCACGTTCTCTCTCTCTCTCTGGTCACAATAGGAAACACAACCCCTTTGTAAATAGTTTCTGCATTTTTAACCAATCAGTATTGGGACAGAAAGGTTTATGTAATGCTAGCTTGAAGATTATTTTTATATCTATATTCTGTATGGATATCTGCTGCAAAACTGAGAAATTGAAACATACTGCCTATATCTATGTTTTCTGCACTGCCTAATTTGTGCCTTGGGAATTGTAAAGTTACCATCCTGCTTTACAGTGGACATTTTATTAATCCTGTTGTCATACTGCAAAAAATGTAATCAGGATATATCTATGAACTGATGCAAAGAACCTGCTCTCTTTTTTCTTATTTGCAGTAAAAGGCTATTTCTAGATCTCCTTTTCATTTTATCCTAGATTTTCAAACTTGGGGAAAGTGAGGGGAAGGGGGTTCAAGGTATCTCAGAAGTTGCAACGTTGCAGGGAGAATGGGCATCCTGGAATTTGAGCTTTTCCTAAAGTAGGTTGAAAATAGTCCTGGCTTAAGGCAGGCAGGGACTTAAAAGAGGAGAATTGAATGGACTGAATGCTTCTGGCAGGGGAACTTTTGAGGATGGGAGCAGATTGCATTGCCCCACTTTGTGACTGCTTTACAGAGACTCATTCTACAACCAGTAGAGGAAAAATGGCCATGGGTCCTATTCAAGATTCATCACTTTAATTTTTCACAATTACCTCAAAAGAACCCAATACATCAAAGGCTCTATCTCCTGGTTAGAGGGTACTGGAGTTTAATGAGCTTATTTGGCAGCCATTTTGCTTTTTTAATGAGTTTGTTTCCATTCAGGCACCATAGTTTAACCTCTGCAGGTAGAGCTTATAACATTCCCTAGGTATCTGTGCTGGAATTTCAGCAATTGTACTTGTTTCCACTAAGAGCAATTTCTTCTTCTAAGTTGTACACCCTAGCCACAGCATTAATCTGAAATGGGATTTAAGGGATTATATTTTTGACCCAGCATTAAGACAATTCCCACTAACAACTGTACTATTGGACATATACAAAGCATTCTAGATGTTCTGAATCCTTTGGGTATGGATTACCCTCACAAGGCATTTTATACATACAAGTTACAGCTTTAAACTGATCATATTTATTCAAAAGTAGCACCCCAATTTTAATAGGATTTTTCCAGTGTCAATACAGAGACATGGAACCTGATCTTATATTTTTTTCCAAAATAATGGTACAAGGGCATGCTCCCAAGAAAATGTGCAGATTAAAGCTTAATGTTTTTAAAGATCATATGGTAATATATTAGCAAACCAGACATCACTGTTAAACATATGAAGAGTTCATGTTCACAACAGACAGCTGATCATATAAAGACTATTATTATGCTACAAGATGTGCACACATTTATATTAGTTTTTAGAAACCCGCATGGTGTACATTTTTCTCAGCAGCCTTTGGTATCTCACTAGACACTCACTGTGGGCATCTTAAGTTAAATTCACCAATCGCTGGTTTGCTGAGACATCTTTTACCCACTCCTACATGAAAAGATAGGCTATGCTGACACCTTGTGGCTTTTGCTGCAGACAAATCCATTCCTTGGAACCAGCATTTGGGTAAACTGCACTATTTCAGTGTAGTATGTTTCTTGGCCTGTGGTCAATTAACCATGTGCTTGGTACTAACTGAATGACTCCAAGGAGATGCGGAATACTTGAGAAAATCAGTAAACTAAAATGACATGCTTGCATCAGCCTTCAGCTACCCCAAACTTCAAATCTATCCCATTAAATTTGACTAAATTTGACACTGTTGATGCTGGGAGCCAAAATCAAAGATGTAGGAATATTTCCTTTTGTATGGAAATGGAAAAACTCAGGATGGTTAAGGAGAATGGGTGAATTTTCCCCCCAATTACTTCCCATATGGCCAGTGGTAACAATGGTGGGCACCCTTCCAATATTTTGTCCCCCATTCTTGGCATATTTTCAGTACTAGCTACAAATTCATATCAAGTTGAAAGGGGTCACTTAGGTCACTGAATCCAACCCCTTTCTCAGTGAGGACTTCAGACAAAAGCATCCCATTCTTGCTAGTATACACTTGGGCTAGTGTATCCAGGCTGCAAAAATCCTTACTAGATGGCAGGAAAGGGTGTTTTCTATATATCTTTGCTGGGGTGGCCTGGATTTTTGCAGCCAGATCTGGTAGGCCTAATTATACTTCCAACTATCTTGATTATTTTTCTTCTTATAGCTAGATTCATTTGGGCATTATTCTTCTTATAGCTAATTAATTTGGGCATTCATTCTAGAATCCAGTGATTAAGTTTTCACCCTGAAGCCAAAGATTAACTAAACATTCTGTTTTCCCTACAGGGAAAGTTATCTTTCCCATGTGACAAAGATAAACCCACCTTTTTCTATATCTAAAGAAGCTTAAATCTTATGATGTAGTAATTCCAAAACAGGATCATCTATACATTCTGGAAGTGAGAAGGGCACGTACAAGAGCTTCTTTCTCTTCCAAATAACTGCTAGATCCCTAACGTTCTTGCCTCATTGCCAGATCCCGATGCACATTATGCACCAAAGACACGTCTCCCAATTATCATGCCGAATACTATCTTCGCCTCCTGAGTTGTTGTTCTAATCAAGGAACCAAAAATGAGCAATTTTTGCATACAGAATTTTTAAAATCATAAGAAGTCATACATATCCCCCCAAAATATTCTAGACCACATTAATTTCTAGCATTTACATTCTAAATAACTCTATTCGGTATCAAAAAGTCTGATCATTGTCACTATTTTCATAGCAGCAAAATCTGAAAAAATCAAAAATCACAAATCAAGAAAGGTTTAATGTGAGTTTGGAATGAACAGCTCTCTCCTCATCTTCCAATTCAAATATTCTTCACAAATTACTCTTCTTCATTCAGATTGGGTTCACACTGCATTATGATTTAGTTAACTATGGTCTGTTGAAAACATCACAACTGGCAAGCCTCATGCATCACATTAAATCACAAAGGAAGGTCTATAAAGTGGCTAGTAAATAAGCCATAAAGTGGTTTGTTTCATTTTGGCTTAATAAAATTGCATGAACCAGGCAACGTCAATCCTTGTTACCTCCCCCTCAAAGTCAGTGTGAATGCATATTTCTTCCTCTTCTCTTTATGTATAGGCTACAAGCAAGATTGGGCATTAAAGGAGAAGAGGATGGGACAGTAAAAGAAAAAATGAACAAAAAGATTGTCTCATTCAAGTCAAGCCTGAATCCTGGTGACTCCATGGGGATAACCATGCAGCAGTTTTATATATATTTGTTTATTATAAAACATCATACATTTCAGGAAGTGAAATTAATCATGCCAGAAAGCAATGTCACAGTTTGTATTCTCCCCTTCTGCGATGGGTCTTGCATTCTTGTAAACAGAAATCGCAATGCTTGTAACACACACTTTCAGGATTCCAGGATAAACCCTCTCATAAATGATGCAGAAAAAAATTCCCTCAATTTCCTTGGTCTTCACCAGGTTGCAACAGGATGGGTTTTATATTTTCTGTAATCATCCATGCAGAAAAATGCTAGCTCTGTTTCATTAGCTGAAATGAGAGAACACATATTTCACCTACTTGATAAAGACAAGAGTTTTCCCATCATGGAAAAATATAATAGCAATAATTAAGCTGTCATTTAAGGCTGTTGTTGATTAACAACTTTTTACATCTAGGGAAGCACCCTTGATTAAGAACAAAATCCAAAACAAAGACATTCAGACAGCATTCCACAAGCTGAAAGTACTAGTTCTCTTCAGAATACAAGGAAACAGCTAAATCTGTATTTTAAAGTTCCTTGTTCTATCCAGTGAGAAGGGAGGGAGTTCCCCCTGAAATTAACCTGTAGCCGTAATAATTTAATACTTGGAGGATCAGTAGAATATTTTACAGGTCACTTTACATTCTCCCTCATGACCCATCAAATGTGAGACTGAAGAAGCTAATTTTTCCCCCCTGCCAATGATTAATTCATGAGGCTTCAACAATATGCAAAGTGAAAGACACAAATTGGCTTCTCCAGCAATACCTTCAAATGCCTCTAATTATTCACAGGGGATCTAGCAGAGCTAAAGGAACCACATAGGTTCAGAGCAGGCACAGTTCTTCCCACCAGCAGGTCAAGGACTTCTTCTAAAACAGTAAGTCAGCAACATTACTAATTCAGAGCAGACACATCGCTGATGGAAAGTCATCACAATTAGAAGATGTGGGAGCCTTTTGAAGTGTGAAGCCACCAAGTTCTGCACTCGCTTTTTAAAATTAAACCATAAGTTAATGAAGTCTGCCTGTCTCATGAAGAAAGGAGCAGGGGCGGGGAGAGCTATGACTGAATATTGACTAGGAAATCTGCAGAAAGAGAGGAGTGGGTCCGGGAGGAATGAAAACTGAATGCAGGCATTTTGCACAGAACTTTTGGATGAAATGCACGAGCTTAAGCCTTGCTTATCAGATAACTACTGCCAAAAACAAAAAAAAGTTATTCTATCCTCCCCCCCACCCCCCCAAGACGGCCTGTTCAGGTCACATCTGGGTTTGTAGACCCAGGGAGTCAACAGGGGTAAGCTTCAGATTTATACCCTCACTCTAATACTTCTACAAATGAACAAAAATGTTCCATGTTTATTTGAATATTGGAATTCTCTCCCCTGGAATTATTCCATTTTCTATGAAAAAAGGAGAGAAAGCATCAATGCTCAGCTGCTGCCCCCTTTTTTGGAAGCAGTGTTCCTCCCAAGATTAGGTTGGCTCCCCCTGAAAAACCACAGAAAGGCATAAAAACCTTTCTCCTTTTCTGGAGAGCCTTGAGACAGACTGGCGATGAGCTATGGATTAGGATGATGTGCCTACTCTCTGAGGCATTGTTGTTTTCTTTTGCTAATGTTTATTATGTTTTTTTTATTCTAATGCATTATAATTATTCTTATGGTTATGGTTATCATCGTTGCTATTCAAGCCATACAAACTGCAGATAATAGATAAACACAAACAGTGCTGATACTCGCTCACTCATTGCATACAAAAGAAGAAACCCGCATTTCCTTTCTCTTGCCTACAAGCTAGCTCTATCTTACGAAGAGAGACATTCAAGTCATTTCACAATATCTTATTTAAACAATATATTCTCTTCAGTTGTCAGTTTAATTGTTCAGATAATTTTTAGTACTTTTAGGGGGTTTCATAACCACCCTTACTCGGAGGCTTAAATATTGAAAGAAAAGTTTCTATGGACCAAATGGCAGAAAGGACAGCCTGTCCAATGATCAGGTAACACTCTACTTTTCCTATCCTCTCTTCACTATCAGAAGTCATATTTTCCTAGGGCACTGAGTTCCTCCTGGGACAGATCCACTACTGATTGTTTTATGGAATATTTAAGGCTTTCATTAAAGTAGGGATGGGTAACCCACAGCCCATGACTCACATGAGGCTGCCCAGAACCCTGTTTGTGGCCCCTAGACTGGAGCAGGACCAAGAAGTGGTCACTGGTCTGAGATGTGCGGTTATATAAACTGAATGAATGAACAAACAAACCAACTTTCAGGCACCTTGTTTGGGAGGATGGATGGCCCACAAAAGAACTTCCAGTCAGATGAAAACTTCATCCAGGGGGTGGGGGTGGGCAAGGGATGTCCAAAGCTTTCTGGTCTGGTGGGGCTTGGAGATTATGGGGAAACGGGAGGGGGGAATGTGTGTGTGAGACCTTGCAATCATTCCCATCATTATTCTGGAGTTCTTGTACAGTATCAAAAATTGTGCACCAGAATTTGGCCATTTTGCTGTGGAATTTCTCTGGTGTAATCTCATGGTGTTTGGAGGACTACAGATTGGATACTCAACTCCAAGACCAGCAGTTGGGGTGTAACAAACTGCGTGACCTGTTAACAGAGCATTCCAGTGTCTTCTGGAGTAGTCCAATGTTTTCCCTGAACATACTGATCTGGTCATTCTGGAGGCGGTTTAATATTTCCCTGAAATGTTAAATCCCAGACCACATTTGGAAGATGGCAAACCATTCCTTGTTCCAGAATAATCATTTTAGGAAAACAACAAGACTGGAAGCTGGTTCCAGGGACACAGAGAAAAAAATCAGCAAAGATGATCACCTCCTCGTTTCCATCACTGAGCATTATGAGTCAAAATCTTCTTAAGGAAGCTAAATATCAGCAAAAAAGAGACAGCCTTCCCTCTATGTTCACTATTCTTGTACTGAATGCCGTGTCATGAAATTGAGGAGGAGGGGAGTGGCATTTCTTGTAGGGATGATTCTGGAGGGTGAAGAGTTTAAAACTTCTCACCATTGCATCATCCTGATGCAGAGAAGATGGTTGGGGAACATCTCATCAACACACCCTCCCACTGATCCACTGCAGCAATCCTCATCACTTTCCAGCAACAAATCACAGCAAGAAAATACTCCTAATCATGAAATGCTTGATGCTATGCAAGATTAAAGTCCCAGCCATCCAGACAATTGATGATTTAGACAGCTCTTTCCTTGTAGTTGGAAAATTTGAATAAGTCTAAGGTTTCTCTAGAATCACGGATTATGGTGAAAACACTAGAGGATCCATATAGCCCATGGGCCATTGGTTATGTACATTTGCACCTGTCCAGTGTACAGCTTTCCATTTAAAAAAAAAATCTACACCAATCTATGATCAGCTTCTCCCATTTTCAGCCATTTTAATGAGACACTTCATTCAAAACCCTCATTTTCTCTAATGTGTACACCTGATCATTTCCTATTCTGAGTTATTACTTTAAGTGCTTAAAGCCACCTAAAATTGTGACTGAGATTAAGGTATCCTATTAGTTTGATTAAATAAATAACAATGAATATACTGTTTTAAGCAGGATGCTGCACGTCCAAAGAATTTTATATATTTGGGCTCTGAAGGGGAGGTACAGGTAGTCCTCATTTAGCAACCACAATTGAGACTGGCAACTCAGTCCTTAAGTGAAACATCATGATTTTACGATTTTAGCTTTCCTTTGCTTTACAGACTTGTGAAGGTTGTAAATGCAAGGATTGGTCACAAAGTTACTTCTTCATCACCATTCTAACTGTGAATGGTCACTAAACAAGGCAGTTACTAAACAAGGACTACCTGTATTGCCAAATCAATATTTAACTGACACCCTGCAGTCACCTGGTCTGGCCTACACAAGCCTCTTTCCCTACATTTCTTACAGCATAACATACCCCAGGGCACTCTGCTTCAGAGATCTGGGTGATTCCAACACTGTGCTTTATTAAACAGATGCCTCTCTCATGTCTCTTCACTCGTTCCTCTTCTTAAATTTAAAGTTTAAATGTTACTGAAAAGACTAAGCAGACATGCTACTAATAACCAAACTGTCAATCAATTAAAATTATTCTCCACAGAGTTCTAAGCATATCTTTTTTTTTTTTAAAGAAATGCCTTCGTTAGCATTCTGTAGGGAGAGACATGGTGCCCTTAAGCCCAATGATTTGAATCTACATTAAGCCGCCCTCCTCTCCTGCTCCTGAATAATTACCAGATTGTGCATCGAGCATCAGGAGTAGTGTTTGCTTTTCGGCTGGCTATCCAAATATAGTCAGCTGTTTTCAGGATAAAGGCAAGCATAATGAACCACATCTTCAGTCAACTCAAATGAACAACCTACCTACTCCAGCTACTTTCAAGGTGCTGTCTTCTGCCAAAATGAGTTTGTCATCATCTTCTAAACTCACAACAAGTTCATTGGTCTAGAAATGCAGGAAAAGGAGGGGAATGGAATGAGGGAGTAGAAATTTTCCAACTTCAAGAAAAAGAATTTAGAAAAATCTAGGGAGAAGTAAGGAAGCAATGATAAAATGTACCTTAGAGCCATGCGCCTGATGGATAATCTTCATTGTGTCTGAAAGAGATTATTTACTTTGAGACATATTTGATCTTGAACACTCATTGTTACTTCCCAGATTTTGTGCATGCTTCATTCTTGCTGCAGTAGTATTACTTTTATTAATTTAACTAGAAGTAGACAGATATCAGAGTTTGAAATACTGTACAAAAGCACTTCCTCCCCAAGTGATAGCACTTGTGATAAACAAGCACAAATTTAGACCCATAAAAAAAGAAGGAAATCTCAATGAATCAATGGACCCCAAGTAGGCATACAGAAGATTACAGCCAGTTATTATTTATTCCATTATGATTAATTTGGACACTGGCCTTAGTATTTATTTCAAAGGTTTTTAGGTTTAGGTTATAAAATTATAAGCCGCTTCCATGTGTCTTTTTTATTGAAGCAGTATAAAAGCACTATAAACAAACTAAATTAATGCAACATGCATAAATACATCCTCGTATGGGTTTTAACAATTAACTTGTTGCCAGCCTTAAAAATGTTATCAACTGTGACCTCTCTCTTAAAATAAAATGTTTTCAGATTTACACATATACAAATCTTATACTCGAAATGCACTAAACACGAACACAGAACAGTATCATTAAGACTATTCAAAGACACCAAGCAGCAACACCCAGTGTCTTTTTATTCAGATTCACACTCCAGTATGGATTCCAATGTTCAGTTCTTTTATGCTTGTTTTATAATTAGATGGTTAAAAGAGAAACCACACAGATTTTAGTTTAGAGATTAGATTGCTAGGATTATTTCTAGTTCCAGTCAAGTAACCATCATGTGATTTGGAAGCATGTGGACTGTGATTTTTTAATACCCTAATTCATCTTGTTTTAAGAAATTATCAGTCCTGTTTCTAGTCCAGCTATTGACATAAAATTCTGTTAGCATACATACCTACTCATTACACCCTCCACTTATAATCCATGTGTTTAATTATAAACACAAAATAAAATCTGGTATGAAGCAAGCTAAGAATGTGGTTTATACTGAATATTATTTATATCAACAAACTGAGCTCATGCTATAGCAGCTGAATTTCTCTTTATCAACCGACCTACTGGGGAAAAAACCTTCAAGCCACTTATAGAATGGCTTAATCTATTTTTTTCCTCACATAATTATATGGAACTGCTAAGCATCAGATGAATGCTCCTTGTTAGCAATCAAAACTAAGGTTTGTTAGAACTGACAGCTTTTACCATGTTCATCTTTGGGCAATAACCAATGTTTCACAAGCAAACTTCTGTTTATCTGACTTTGCTTTCCACCCCACCCCCACTCTGCTACCCAACTATCCTGAGTAGATATCATCAGAGGAGAAATCCATTCCCTTGACACCAACCCATATGGGAAGACTTAACTCAGCATCATTTTCTGTTATATTTGAGAATGCAAGATATATTTAATGTTTCCAAAGGGGGAAAATACACCATTTTCACAACAAAGAGAGCGCTAATCAAATCCTCAAGGGCTTCTTTCTTGTCATTTGAAAATAAGATTATTCAGTGGAATGAGAAAACAATGGGACTGAATTGTATTAAGCAATACTTAGTGATTTCAAGTCATTGCCAGATTGTGGCAGCAACTATTAAAACACCACTTTGACTTTTTTCACACTTATACCTACATTTATAATGTAGATAAAAATTAAACTAATGAAATTAAGAAATCATCATACTTGAAAACATACTAATTCCTACTTCAAGCTTTATTCTCAGTGTACTCTGCAAGGGTTTTACTATAGAACTCTGCCATCTACTGTCTCTTAATCTCAATAGGTTGGTTATACAATATTGCCAATCATTATTTTTGACATAACATTTTCTAAGCCAGTTTAATATATATTTTTTAAAAAATAATACTGTTCTGCAAGCAAGCAATGCAATTCTGCTAGGAAAATTTTGAAACTCGAACTATATCCTCAAAATTAGTTAAATACTGTAAGAGTCATTCCTAATCCCACTAGGTATATTAATTAATTTATTTATTTATTATTATCCAGTTTAGATACTGCCCATCTCATAAAAAGTGACTCTGGGCTGTTCACAAAAAAACAGTAATAAATATTAAAATACAATAAAAACAATATAAAATACAATAAAAATAGAATAAAAACAAAACATATAATTCTTTACCTGTACCAAAGGGATGTGCATTATTTGATTTACTTTTAAACATTTCCCAGCTAGTGCACTGTCTTTACATTAGCACGTTCCAATACATTACAGTACATTCAGTAAAATTCATTTACCGAAAAACTGACATGGTCATTAAATGAATGTTAACAGAGATATAGCTAAGCTTCTAATTATTTCAAACCATCCCATATCTGCATTATTGCACAATAATTGGACTCCTATTATTCATTAATGTACCTTTTAATTTACTAATTCTTTGTTTTGATTTAAATATTACTTCATCTATCAAATTCATCTTTAAGATCCTACTTGTTTATCTCTGCTCTCATTTGCTTCTTATTTTTTATGTAAATTCTTTCAGCATGTAAGTTCTTATTCCATGCTTCCAGCTCCTACTTGGCTCCCCCTTCTGACCTCACAATTAGTTGCTGGATATTGAAATGCAGAAGCATGGAATAAACTTATTTCAAAGGATTGTGGGTCATGAATGGCATTTCAGCACATGAGCCAAGTCCAAAAGGCATTTTTGGATCATGATAAAAAATTCATACCCCAAGGACAACTCTGATAATTAATACCACAATGAATTAATAACATCCAGGCTAATGTGAACTTGAGATCCAAGAGATACAACTCCAGGAGGAAAAGTTCTAGTTACAATGGAATTGCGGTGCCTGATATTTTTCATTCCTAATGTTTCCAGCTGGTCTTGCCAGGAATCCAGCTTTGTTGGCATCAGCTGGCAGCCAGCAGGTCCATAGATTCAAATCAGGCTCAAGACAGAATGAAATGCCGGCAAGAATGCTATTGAAAGAGAATTACAGATTAAAAGAAAAGGCATTCCAAACTACACCCCTTCAGCTTGTCAGGACCCCCAGAATGACAGCAGATACACCCCCTTGAACCAGCTGACAGTGGTGTAGTACCTTTTTTTGGGTCTTTAGTCTGGTTCAGAGTCTGGGATCTCTTGTCTCTGGGAATATAAACAACACAACACTTGGGGTTGGCCTAGTGGCACATCTTACCAGTGACTTGGTCATAATTCAGGTCATATCCACTGTCAGGGATATTTTTAAAGTAAAACTTGGTCTCCAGTCCCCAACACCCGGAGATGGTCTGATAATATATCTTGTAATAACTTGGGAACTCAGACACTTGATCCTCTGCCATGAAACATTATTTCTGACATATCTCTAATTTCCTTCCCTTCTGCAGGTATCATACTAGAAAACCCATACTGTTCCTTTGATCTTAATTGTTACAAGCATACAGATAAAGGGCTCAAAAGCAAGAGTGATTTATAATACAGTGATGCAATCTGCAAAGTTTGCTAAGTAACCTTTTTTAAGCATGCATGGGGAGGAAATTACAATACAAAACTTGCTTGGTAAAAGTGATTTACAACAGTTTGTTATCTTATCTGTGCAGAAAGAAAAAGTAGGCCACACCATTAGCTCCTCACCAACCTTCTGCAGTGCCACTACCAGTTTGCTTCAACATTCACTGCATCTTTAACCCTGAAACCATTTTACATACAAGTACTCAAAAATAATTACTGTCTTTTTAAGATATGCCAAGTCATCATACAAGGAGATTCCTTTCAGATATTAGAACTGGAGCCAATACCAGAAACAGGTAACTAGCACTACATAAGGCAAATGGGAGATCTGAACAAGAATTCATTTCTAAACTGGGATTATACAATACCTTACTGAATTTCTCTGAGGACAGCCTTTGGGGCTGCCAGAATGGGGGCATGGACTGCCCATCTCAGAATTGAAAATTGAATTTAGCATGATGAGTGAATCAGACAACTTATTCAACAGATTATAGTAAAGCAAACCATGATCTGGCCTTATGTGCAAACCAGGTCTTTAAAAATGAAGGAGGGGGATAGAAAAGAAACAGACAATCCCAGAGAACAATTAAATTTCAAAGCCTTAATGAATTAATAACCTAAATTCTATTGTCCCCTAAAGAAATTAATTGCAATTTCTTCACATTTTCTCTAATATGTAATCCTCATCCCAATTCGTATTAAATATATTCCTGATTCCTACAACTCTCATTAGTTTCTGAAAGTCTGCAATGTCTTTGACCGCTAGTTTCCACTGATGCATACACAGCATAGCTGTCAGATCCAGATCCCAAGAAGACTATAACATCATTGATTCATAACGCTGATGGTATCTAACAAAAGGGGCTTTAGAGTAATGGAATGTATACACCATTAGAAATTATAGAACTCTATTATAATGTAACTTATTACTAATCAAAATATAGGGAATTGTTTTGTCAAAGTGTAATATTTAGTAGAGCTAAAAGGACCAAGATAAAATTGCACTGGGGATTAACTAAGCAGGGTTGGAACTGGTTAATTTTGGATATGAGACAATCAGGAAATCCCATGACCCTAAGACTAGACTGTGAAATTGAAAAAGATCTCAGACAAAGTCCATGGCTAAAACTTATTTCATCAATTCACACCTCCTCTAATTAGATTGACATGGCTCCTCTGGGCAGAACCTTCTGTTCCTCCACTTAGAACTAGCTAGCTATTTAATTAATTTATATGCCGCTCATCTCCCCCGGCGGGTGACTATACTGCAAACTCCCCTCCACCTTAGACAACATGACCAATGATGAGGGATCATGGGGATTAAAGTCCACCATCATCTACAGGACTACACCTTGCCCACCTCTGCAGTAAAGCAGTGTAAGGCATGACAATATTATATAAAACAAGATTATGACTAAGATTCAATTCTAACATATTTCTAGACCATTTTAATAAGGTATACATGTTTATATAACTCCTGTTTTGCCTTGAATGATCATGTGCTATATCCACATATGCTCCTTGGCAAGCTATAGAAATAGGAATGGGAACCTGGTGCCATCCATACCAAGAGTTACTATAACGGAGCATGCAAGGAGTTGATGGAGTAGGTTTTGCTGGCTCCTATAAGGGCATTTTAAACCCTCCACCCACAACACTGATGCCACTACCTCCCAGCTCCAGGGAAGAACCAACTCAGTTATGCTGTTTACTCAAGAGGAAGCAATTGGCAATTCTCCTTCCTTCACTAGCTTGGCTCAAAGGAATACATGTACTAAAGACCGGCACCATTGCCCAGAATGAGCATCGTAAGTCAATAAGACTGCAAGTCTTTATTTATTGATTTAGGATTTAAAAACCAGAGGCAAGTTAAAAGGAATAAAAGGAAAAAGGAAAAAAAGAAATGAATATGTCTCCAGAAGTAGCTTATTTCAATCACTTGCTCCCCCAGCCCAAGGTCTCCTACAACATACGCATTCTACAGTTCAGACTGCTGTCTGTAAAATAAAACTGAATGCACACTGCATCTAGCTCCACCGATCCCTAGCTTACTATATAATTCCCTGATCTCCAACCCTGACTTTTGTGAGTTAAATCTTCAAAGAAAGTTTGAATGAATTAGGAAACCAAGCCAAATTGATATCCACACTTTCAATAGTTTCTCATTTATTGTTCCTTAATTTTTATTCAAAGCAGATTACATGTTAATATTTATTCTGTTATTTTAAAAATAAGAAAATTACCATATGTATATTTTCTAAAGGGTGGCAGAAGTCCTGTCCTTGACATGACATCTAGAGGGGGAGAAAAAATGAAAATCAATATCGTTTTCCCTTACATTTAGCAATGTATGTAAACACCTGGACCATTGTCTTAGACCAAGAGAAAATAAGCTGCATTTCAAATTCCAGTCAGACTCAACCAAATCCAATGGAACTCACTTCCAAAGAAGTATAAATACGTATCAATGGTATCTTCTCCCAAAGAGTCCAACAGATGGCAGCACCTAATCAACTTTCACTGATCTTGAAAGGCTAAACAGGGTCAGATCTGGTTAGTACTCAAATGGGAGCCCACCAGAATTGTAGGCTAGACTGAGAAAGCTTCCCCCAAGGAGCTTCCGGTGGGGAAGAATGGTAGGCTGACGCTCTCCCGAAGTGTGGAGAGCTGCTGCAGCTGAGAACACCAGCTGGGAGATGGATTCTGGCCAGTGTTCATCTCCATGGATCAAAGGGAGATTGTGAGATAGACCACATGTGGTCCAGACAGCAGTTCCTTCTGATTAAACTGCAGAAACATAAAGTTTCTGCAGCTAAATCAGGAGTTGAGCTGCCAGGAGCCCTGGAATTCCATCTACGCTCCTAACTGGCAGAGCCGATAAGGACATTAAAGCCTTGCTTTCCCCATCTCTTAATCACTTTGGGAATTAATTAATTACAGATGAAGAAAGATTTCCTCTGCAGTAAAGATAAGACTCCCTGCAGTGAGATAAACTTTCTTTTCAGATTTAGAAAAACAAACAAGAAAGCCTTTGATTTAAAGATCCAAGAACTATTTGCAAAAAGTTTAATTAAGAGAAGATCTAAGAAAGTTTTAAATGGATAGGGGACAATCTTTTTTTTCTTATTTTTCTATTTTTCTTTTTACTTTTGACGAAAGTGCTTTGAACCCCCTAATTCTTCACTAAGCCAGTTAAAGCAAATAGCCCAGTGTGGGAATGCTTGCTACCTATCTTTAAAGAATGTGTGTAAGTGGTAGATTCTGCATAATAAAAGATAAGGTAAAGACTCAGGCTTGTCTTTTTATTTTGCCTGCTTGGGACATTTTCATTTTTTTGATTAAAAATGACTACTAGAAAAATAGCAAGAGAGGGTAGAAGGGACTCACCAGAACAATCTGCAATTACACAAGGTATACTTCAGAAATGTTTGGAACAAATGGCAGATAAATTTGATCAGATGGGAAATAAAATGGATGTTTTTGAAAAAAGAATGGATGAAAGATTTATAAAATTAAGAAAGGAGAGGAAAGAAGATGTTTAAAAAATATCTAAAGAGGTAAAACAAATTAATGATAGAGTGGAAATTTTAGAGGGTAAGTCAGAAATCCAAGGGAAAGAGTTGGAAAGAGAATTGGATAATTTGGCTTTACTGGAATTGAGAGGAAAAAAAATTCTGTTTGAGATTTAGAGCTGTTCCGGGGGCTCCAGGTGAAAAGATTACAGAGCGGTTTAATGTTTTGCCAAATTTTTTTGATCTGGAAGAGGAAAATATGGAGGCAGAAATTGATAATTTATAGAATAAATTCCAGATATGCCAGATTGAGGAATGTTCCTAGGGATGTTTTGGTGCAATTTGTTAGAAAGAAGACAAGGGATCAAGTCTTGCAGCAGCATTTTAATACAAGACTGAAAGTGGATAATACTGACACAATTGTTTTGAAAGAGATTCCCATCAGAATTTTGCGTAAGAGAAAAGAATATTCCTTTTTGGCTGGAAAATTAAAACAGAAAAAGATCCTATTTTGATGGGATAAATTGGAAGGTGCGATGTTTTACTTTCAAACAGCAAAGATTCAGACTGAAATCTCTTCAGAAGAGGAGAGGGTGAGCTCCTGTTTCCTCCCCAGTTCCTATCAACCCAACAGTTCGAAAACTCATGTGAGTAAATAAATGGGTACTCTC